CCCCACCACCTCCATTTTGATTTCTCAAATTTGGCGTGGTTTTACTCTGCCTATTGTGCAATGTGCTCCTTGCCAGAAATATTTGTCGTTGTCATTCCGAAGTGATGTTCGCCAGTTCGAATAGACAGAAGCATTTGACGTTATTATCATGACCCATGAGATCCGGGATTCGAATCTCGGCAGCACTCGCCGCGTGCTGAGTGAGAGGGATGTCCCGCTGATTGATGATAATACCCAGCCTTAAATGAGCATTCCAATTGATGTTGTCTTTATTAATATAAGTTTTTGTTATTTACCAGGTTGGCGGCGCAGATGGCCGTGTCTCAGGTTGTTGAGTCGTTTTATAGACATAGATGCTACATACAATATCTTTTCCCTTGTAACATTCTGTTAGCCCATTGCGGTGAAGCCTAATGCCTCTTCCTGTTTACGTATTCTCTTAGTGGTTCTTTTTAATGTTTGATAGCTTGCCTCCCAAGACCTTCATAAGTCCATTAAGCCAACTGTGTTTGGAAAATAGCTGTGGGTTGCACTTGTTTTGGTACCAGACTGCCACCTATGTGACATGCACCGATTACGCCTTCCTAACGCAAATATTTCATCGGTAGTTTTCACTCAAAAGAGTTTGGTTGGTCTGAAGGATGTGTAAAACATCAACTACTTACCTAATCGTCTACGGGCACCTTAGCATTGTTCTTTTCTAATGTCAGTCGGGTTCCATTAAAATGCCACAATTACACATGTTGCTTAGCTCCTTAGCCTATCCACAGTGGTTAATTATAAGAAAACCCATTAATACTTATAGTATTTTTAGTCTCCTTAGGTTCAAGTCCCCAGGGGAACCCCAATGCTGTTTACTAACTCGATTTTACTTATCGTTAACTCTCCGGCTTCATTAAGAGGGGATGATCATCTGCATTGCCTGCATTTTGATGAAGCCATATTTTGTAATTATTCTCTTCCCCTTTCTTCTAGGTGAGCCTGGACTTCCTGGAAGAATCCATAACTGCCTTCGAAGACCACGTCCAGTCCGTCGACATCGCCGCCTTCAACAAGATCTGAGTGTGGAATACAGCATACGACTTTGGACCTCAGCCCTACAAACGTGCCGTGTTCTTCCCGGTTACTATCATTACTATTATTTATAGGCAAAATGATTGATGGTCGTCGACCTGCTTTTGATTCATCTTCATTTTTCACTCCACGATCCCCCTCAATGGGAATAGGTGAGGGGTCTTCGTGTTACACGATGTGAATATGTCGCGGTAGACCATCATTCTCGCAGCCTAGATGGGGACAAATCCGAATGTCATACGACATGTTCACTTAAGGATAAAAATCATAAATGGATGGGAAGAATAGGAAATGAGCGATGTCCCCAGCTGTCAGCATATTTGTCTGGGCTTTCCGGCCTGTGCGTCAGTACGTAAATATATAATTTGATGAATCGGAAACAAGGAGGTAGTT